TAGGTAAGGGTCAGTGTCACTCTCTGGAATCATTTTACATATGAATTGGGATGTGGGAACACTTGCAGATGACTGGGTGCAAATTGGGTGAAAGCCATTCTAAGGCTGCAGAGGGTCCATGTGCCCCATTTCACAGATGAAGAAGAAAATGTGAACTTTGGAGGTCAAAAAGGAAAGGGGGAGCGTGGGGTGGGGAGGTGGGCTCTGCCCTGAGCATGCCCTTCCCACCCTCAGGCTAGGCCCTCTTGGGCAGAAAGGACTCCGGCTCCCAGCTGAGGAACCTAGGGGCAGAGGAAAAACCCCAGAAACTCCCAGAATGAGTGCCCTGAGTGTGGAGACACGGAGAGGTTCGTGATCTGGGGAGGAGTGGGGCTCCTGGGCAGTGAGGGGGACCAGCCTGTAAGTATCGATGACCCCTTTGCCTTCTGCTTTGTCCCTAGACTCTTCCGGTCCCACCCCAGGCGCTCCTTTCCCAGCCATCTCCCATCGGTCTCGGGGTGGGGGTGCTGATGTGGGACTCCCTCGGGCAGCTTCGAATGCCCGGCCACGAACCCTGGCAGAAGCCCCCAGGAAATCAGTGAGCAATGCCCCAGAGCGCAGCACAGTGGAGTCGAGCCCTGCTGCCAGGAGACGACCCAGCTCCTGCGGGGGCCTCCAGAGGCCAGCCTCACGCCTCCTGGGCTCTAGCGCCACCCCTTTGTCCTCCCCAGCCCGCTCCCCGGCCTCGCTGGGTGGAACACCCCGGGCTCTGGGGCACTCCTTGCAGACCAAGTCGAAAGGGCTGCAGGTTCTGCGCCCCCCACAGGCCGCACCCTCAAGGAAGGGCGCAGCCATCCTGCAGAGCCTTTCTCCCCCTTTGGCCACTTCAGCTCCACGGATTCAGACCGCACAACTGGCACCGCCTGTCCTTATCACAGCCACTACTCCGCGGGACACACCCCTTACATCTCCACCCGCCACGCCTCCTTCGCAGGCCCTTACGGGTCCTCTGGCCACGTCCTTTCCACTAGCCCCTCCTCCCTCTGCTTCACTCTCTCTGCAGAACCTCCCCTCTCCGCCAGCCACACTCCCTTTGCAAGCTCCACTCATACACCTGAGTACACCCTTTCCAGAGGCACCCGCCTCTCCCACGGCCACTCTTCTAGCTCCAGTCTCTCCTTCAGGTTCACCTCCTCTGCAGAGTACGTCCCCTACCCAGGTTTCTCCGGCTTTGCCCTCTCTTCCGACTCTCCCCTCTCCCTTGACCACACCACCTTCGTCAGCTGGTCTGCCACCAGCCACGCCCCCTCCACGAGTCCCTCTTTCTCAGTCAAGGTCTCTGCGGAACTTACCCTCTCCCTTAGCCACAGCCCCTCTGCAGGACTTTTCTGCGCTGACCTCTCCCCCCGCACTGGCCAGTCCTCTGTCTCCGCCCCTTCTTCAGCCCTCGGCCATACCTCCCACGCAGGACCCTCTTCTAGCCATAGCCCCTCCGCAGGACCCTCCTTCTTCACTGGCCACGCCCCCAATGCAGACCCCACCTCTGGTCACGCCCCCTCTTCAGGCCGCTCCCTCTTTGGTCCTGCCTCTTCTACAGGCCCCATATTTTCTGGCCTCACCAGCTTTGCAAGCCCCTCCCCTGGACACGCCCCCTCCACAGAGTCCATCTTCTCTGGACACACTGTCTCTACAGGTCTCTCCCTCTTCTCAGACCCTGTCCCCTCTACAGGTCTCACTTTCTCTGGCCTCACCACCTTTGCAGGCTACTCCTGTTCCGTCCAATCCTTTCCTGGCTATGGCCTCTGTGCAAACCCAAACTCTGGCCTTGCCTTCTCTGCAAGACCCTCCCCCTCCAATGGCCACGCCCCCTCCTCCGGCTCCACCTTCTCTAGTCTTGTCCCCTCTGCAGGCCCTTCCCTCTCCCCCTGCCTCACCCCCTCTTCAGACCCCACGCCGTCCCCCAACCCCCGGTCCCGATGCCCCGATCCCGGGCCCACGGTTGACCCTGGCGCTGGCCTCGGCCC